GCGGCAGGGCGGTGCGGGCCGGGGCCAGGCGCGTTGATCGCGGCGTGCGCCCCCGCAGGGCTCTGCCCGCCGCCGCCCTGGCGCTGCACTGCGTGGACGGGGTCTTCCTCTCCCCCAGCGAGAACGACTTCGTGAGCCGGGTGGCCGAGGAGCTGGAGCTCTTCCTGCTGCAGAGCCAGCACGAGAGGTAAGCGGCTTGCCCGGCCCTTGCAGGGCGACGGAGGGAGGGAGGGTGCCCAGCTCTGCGCTGCTCGGGCCTCTGCAGGGAAAAGGAAAAGGGTGGCATCTTACCCGAGCACGGGCACGAAAACGGTGAAATAAGCATCATGGTTGTTACCGTGACCGCTGGCCAAGCGAGAAGTTCGCTGACCGAGCGTGCGGTCCGTCCGCGGGCCTCCGACACGCTGCTGCTGCGGCTCCTTGTCTGTTTTCAGGGTCCTGCTGTTCCCGCCCTTGTCCAGCCGCCTCCGCTACCTGATCCACAGGACCGCGGACAACGTCGACTTGTTGAGCAGCTTCTCCGTTGGGGAAGGCTGGAAGAGGAGGACGGTTATCTGCCACTCAGCCATACGGTATAACAGCCCTTAGGTCTGCCGTTCCCTTCTGTTTGGGGCTCCAGACCCTGCTTTGGGGCAAGCCCAGCCCTCGGGGCTTGCGGTCCTGCTCTTAAGCGTAGTTGAGCGAAGTTTGGGATTCTTGCTCTAATAGTGAGGTTCCAGGTTGGGTTTGTTCGCAGCCATCCTCCCGTGGGTGCTTCCCATCCTGCAGCTGAGGCAGCAGACCCTTGTCAAGCGACTTGTCCAAGGTCATGCAGCAGATCAGCTGCAAGCAAAACGCAGGAGTCCTGCCTGCTCCGCAAGGCTGCTGTTCCTCCCTCCCTGCCCAGTGCCCAAGGGATGACATGCAGTATGACTGGAATCCAGAACCGTGGGTAACTTCACCTCTTGGGATTCAAGTTAGACCTTGGCCTGTGAAATTTTAGCGCATCAAAGTAGAAACCACAATGACTGCCAAATGCTGTTGTAGCGACTACAACCCAAAACAAAGGCAGGACGCCTGGGATCTGCACACAGATTTGGGAGTGCCATCTGCCCGATAGAGCCAAGGTGTAGAAGAGGGGACTTCCAACTTCCACTTCTGCCCCTGCCTTTCTTCCCTCGGTAATCTTAATCTAATGTTGGCCTGGCTAAAAGGAGACTATCAATTTTTGCAACAAAAATAATGCAGTGAACAAACACCTGTTTGTTACTCACACCTTGCATGTTTTTCATTTGCTGCTTAAGTTTTGGCATCTACACAAGTACAGTACACCATTTTACCACCTGACCTTAACTATGCTGACAACATTAACTATTAGATCCAATAATAATCCAGTAGGTTAGCACTTAGTGATCTATGTTTTAAAACAGCAGCATTTGTTTATACAACCCTGGTTGGCCTTAGCTGTTATTCTTATTTAGGTACAGAGATCTTGACAGAAGGAAAAATAGGCCAAGGAAAGAAATGTAAGGAAATGGAGGAGAAAGGAGAGAAGATACTTAAAAAAGGAACCAAAAGCAAAGAGCTGGAGATGATGGGGTGGAAGGAGGCCAGTGCCCTCCTAACTTTTAATAATCAGTGTCCTGAAAGGCATCCCATATCTAGAAGTCTTTCTTGGGCATTTTTATTACAGCACATGCACTGCCATGTTGTTCCAGTGTTCAATTTTGGGGCACTTTTGTGCTCACATTTCCAGAACATTCATCTCTGAGTAGTCAGCGGTGTCCTGTGAGCCAAATCTTTTCTTTTTAAATTCAGCTTCCACACACTATTTATCAGGCTCCAAATTACATGGGTAGCTCTATATAATTCACTGTCATTTGGCACGAACAATATATTCAGTGCAATTCTGCCCCCTCACTCTTAATTTTGTAAAGCATTAGATGTAAATTCACTCTGCTTTTTAGTAATTCACGTTTGCTGGGTGGGTCTTCTCTAAGTGGAAAACAATCAGCAGAGTGGCTTTAACAACTGTCTGTAGTTGCTTTCATTTTCATTTACTCACTTCTGCTATGCTACGATTATAAATATTTCCCTGGAGCACTTGTATGCATTCCCATTGAGATTTTAAACAGCAGTGTGGGACATTTCTCTTTATCTTAGTGTTTTGTGGAACTGTTTTTTTTTTAAGGTAATAATTCTTTTTCAAATTTGCATTGACAAATGTCTCTGAAAGGGTCCATTTTAACTGCCTTAAGGAGTCCTTAACAATGACGCTGAAGTGAAGCCAAAGTGCCTGTGATATCCATTTTGGCTGGCCCAACGTGATTCTAGATAGAGAAAAGAAGCGTCATAATGTTGGAGCAGCAGGATGAACACTGGCTCTAAAAGACATTTTTGGTGCATCAAAAAATTAGGTTTTTTCTACCATTTTTTTAAAGGGTCAAAAATTGCAATTCCCAGTCCAATGTAAATTGAGATTAGTATCGCTTTCAGGACTACTGAAAGTGTGGACAAAGCATGCTGGGAGTAGATGAAGCATAGGAAAACAGCATGCTGAGTTTTGCTGGCCGATACCTGAAGCTGCTGTTGTGTTGCCCTGCAGAAAAATGAAGGGCTTTGTCTGTTCCTCAGGGTTTTGAGGCTTTTATGAACAGCTCTTGATGATGAAGATCCCATTGATGGTTCATTTCAGCTCCTGGACACATACAGTACAGCCAGATTACAGAATGAATGTCCCTTCCTTTTTCTGTCTGATTCTTGTGCTGCTTTGCCATCTGGTCCCATCTCCTACTGTTTGATTCTCCCTTCTACACCTGTATTTACTACCTGATCACTCCCCTCTTCCTGCTGCTGCTTCCCTGGAAATGCTGTCTGGCTGTTCCCAGACCTTTCTCCTCTACATCTCAAGACAACCCTCTCCTGCTTCCTTCAAGTTTCCTCCTGTTCCTGTAGAGCAGAATCTACCAGGATGGCTGCTCCCTGCCAGCAGCTGCTTTCACAGACCTCTATGTGCCTCTGCAGTGGGGAGCTTTCAGTCCTGTGGAAGCAACAGGAGACAGGAAGTCAGAGCCAGATGTTATCAGCTAGCTCCCTGCAGGGCACGGGCAAGTGCTGCTGGTTACAAAGGATGCATGCAATACATTCTGGTCTGTGAGGCATGCCTCCTTGGAGTCAGAGAGGGGAGCTAATTCTGCTGCAGCTAATGCAGAGCGCTGTAACGCATCTTATTTCTGCCTGCTGTTTTGGTGGTAGGTTGCCTGATGAGGCTGGCGATCAAAATGGCTCCTGCAGCAGCACATCAAGATCCCACCGCCCTCTCCAGTCAAGAGGCAGGGGAGGCCGGGCCGCAGGGCTGCGCCATGCAGAAATGCCTGCTGATGGCTCTCGAACCAACCGAGGAACTGGCAGGACCAGGAGGCAGCCCCGGAGGAAGCCAGATAAAGCTCTGTATGTCCCTAGAGCAATGCGCAAGAAACAGGAGGAATGGAAAGATGAAGCACTGGCAGCACCTGCATCTGAGCCAGGAGTTGAGGTGCAAGAGGAGGGGAACTCTCTTGAAAGCACACCTGAACAGGCCGCTGATGAGCTAGCAAGCTGTGAAAGCATCGTAGGTCCCAGCCAGGAAGTGGACATTACCCCTCCGGCCCCTGACAAGAAACTCTCTGAAGTCCAGGTGCCTTGTGAGATGCATGAAGAGCAAGCAATGAGTGAAATCAGGGATGAGGAAAGTAGCAAGTGTCCAGTGAATTGTTTGGACACCCCTGTAATGGAACATATTAAGAACTCAGCAGTACTGGAAGGTCAGGAGAACAGCTCTGCAAGTACCACTGTACTGGAGTGCAGCAAAAAGCTATGCCAGCCAGAAGATCAAGATGGAGACCCTGTGGACTGCAGTGTATCAGGGTATAGTAAAAACTCAGTCCTGTCAGGAAGCCAAACTAAAGATTGTACTGTAGCAGAGGGCAGCAAAGCCTCCTCAGTACCGGAAAACCAGGATCATGGTGCCACTATATTGGACAGTGAAAATCTACCCCTGCTGGCAGATCCTAATAAGGACTATGTGGAGGCCACCATGCTGGGTCACAACAAGAACTTGTCTGAATTGGAAGGCCAGGATAAAGACTGTACAGGTGCTGCCACATTGGAATATAGCCAGCACTTAAGTCTTCTGGAAGATCAGATGGATGCCTCTGTACCAGAGCATGGTGAAAACCCATCCGTATTTGATGAACAGGATAAGTCCTCCATGGATAATTCTGAACCAGATCATGGCAAAAAGGAACCCTTGCCAGAAAAGCAGGATAAGAACTGTACAGTCTTGGCTGGCACGCTATGGGCTGAATTGGAATTGTCTGCCGGAGATAAAAGCATGACAAATTCACCAGGTAGCGAGCAGGAAGAGCGCTGCTTCGAGGATGAGTGCAGTGCTGAGCTCTTGGAAGAGGTAAGTTTCACCATAATCATTTCCTCAAAACTGTTCCCCAGAGGCAGTCATGAATAGAGCCTGGGCTCCAAGTTAGCCAGGTGGGTGGGATTTCAGTAGTCCTCCTAACAAAAGAAAGGTAGAGCATATCTGACAGCTCTTTTGTGACTCATATGGACTTCTACTGAGCCCTTTCAGTGGCCTGAGGAGGTTTGTCCATGAAGCTGTTCAAGTGCTGTGCAGGGCCACATGGATTCCCATCTACTGAACATTTTCTGAAATACATTGTTGGATCTTGCTCCACTTCCTAGCAGTCAGGAGTCTGAACCCAAGCCCATAACTCCCCACAACTTAATTGGCATTTTCAGGGCAAGAATTGAATGGACCTCAGGAGCTCAGCTGAGCTCTGGGTCAAGCTTTCCAAAGCAGGGTTGCAGTTCGCTGGCAGCAGTGTGCACGGGAGGGGAACTGATGCCCCTCCTGTGGCCAAGTAGGGAGTGCCATTAACCTGTCACACTAGTCCTCAGCACCTTATCTTTGTTCCTCTTCCTGGAGTGCTGAAGCACCTCCTTAATGCAGTTATCTTTGCCATACAGGCTGCGAAGTAGGGAGGTGTTATTCTCATGTTTTGCAGGTGAGAGGCTGAGAGACTTCCCTAAGGTGTTGGGGGGAGGGGGGAACTGGCCCAGGTGTCCAAATTAGCATCCTGTTGGCCACTGAACATGCAAGCCTGATCTGTGGGTTGGAACGCTGCTTTTCAAGAGCCCCCAAATAGCTTTGCTCCTAGATTTCGGCAGTGCTTAAAAATGCACTCTCACATGTAACACTGTCCTCCCGTCAGATTGCAGCATACTTAACTGTGAAGGACATCAGCATTGAGAAGATTCAGTTTGATTACTCTAGCTATGGTGATGCACAGATCAATGAGGGACACTTTGGTCACGTGATAGAGATCTACGACTTCTTGCCATCTCTGAAAACGGATCATTTGATGGAAGCATTTTCCGAGTTCCAGTAAGTACCACGCCCAAGGGTAAGGTTGGCAGGTCGTGCCAGCCTAAATACTCCAGCTGACATTGCTGGAGCTCCTTGCCTGAGCAGAGTGAGCAGTACTTGGCTTTTTAAAACACTAACATTGTATGTGCAGAGCCCAGTAACAGACTCTAATGATGTTGCACTGAGTTTTAGCTCAGGCTGCATGATTAAGGCTTTTGTGGAAGACTTTAATCCAGTGGAATCCTTTTTTTTTTCCCCTGCAAGTGATGCCTGGCTTCGAGAGAGAAATTCTCTGGTGGTTGTAGGTCTGAGCATGCAGGCACCCTCACGCACACTTTACTGATGAGAATATGAGTGTCTCCAGTGAGGTTGTACATTATCAAGGTGTTCATGTCGCCCTTATCGTTGTGGGAGCTCAGTGTCCCAAGTAAAGTTGCCCACTTATATAACCGTACACAAAATCTAGCCCTTTTCTTTGTGACGGCTCATTTGGAGATAAGTTGTATCATTTGAAATGCAGAGCAAGGAGACAGCAATCCATTGGTATTCCCATAAGGAATGCACTGCTTATAGTGAAAGAATAAAATTCATCTCCACTTCTGGTATAAACCTGAGACAGCAGCAACTTTTAATACCCTGTTGTCCACTCTGCAAATATGTATTCCCAAACACCAATTCGTATGCTTCCTTAATACACCTTAAGGATCGATATTAACTCTGTCACAGTGTGTGTATAGCTGAATTCTAAGACTGGGGAAGAAGCAGCATGTTTTTAGTTTCATGTTGTATGTTGACTTGATGCCTTTCATTCCCAACACTCAACCTGGGATGAAAACTACCAGTAACATTCTGTTACAGGGAAAACGGTTCTTTCCCCTGCTTCAGGAAAGTCTTTGAAATCCTACTACCAAGTTTAAAAAAATATGGAAACACTTTTTAAATACTTTCTTGTGATTAAATGCTCTCGACATCAGGTTTTGTACCTCAGTTACTCTTGCATTTCCTAAACTTAAGTCTACACAGGCATTGGAATCATGCCATAATGTTTGTAAAGGTTTCCATGAGTTTCTGCTGACCAAGCTCTCCTTTTATCTTTTTCCTTTTTTTCCAAGTGAGAGTGGTTTCAAAATTCAGTGGGTTGATGATACGCACGCTCTGGGTATCTTCTCCAGTCTGGCAGCAGGTATGGTGACTTCTTTATGCCAGTAAAAACAGCTTTATTTGGATTTCGTCAGTAGAGCACAATAAGAGGTTCTGGAGCCTTACACATTTACTTACCCTACAACATGAAATCCACTTAATATCACTGGCTTCCCATGAGAAAAAAGACTATGATGTTCTATTTCTGCCAAAAGGTAGACAATTTAAGATGCAGGTCCATGGAGTTCTATTTAGATCTAAAACCAATCACACATCCCTTATTCCTACTGGCAGTTGTAAAGAAGCCCATTTCGCAAGGGGGTACAGAGATCTTTGTAGTTTACCACCAGCCAGATAAACTTGTTGGAGGTGGAAGGCTTTTTTTCTCCCGGCCCTGTTAGGTCCTGCTCCCTTCATGAAGGAGCCTTCTGTAATGCACATTAATGCAACTTCTGGTGCATGCTGGTTCATTCCTGCAGTGAGCCCAAGCAGTTGCAGACTTTACTTTCAATTCTTCCCTTTCTCCCCAATCTTTGACTTGAAACATTTAAAAAATACAGGCTCAACTTCCCACTCACAACTCTAGAATTACTTATTATTCATGTCCTTCAGTTGTTGTTGTTGTATAGAAACCCTGGCTTGGGTAATAAACAGGACGTAGGAACGCTGGTATAAGGAGCAAGTGTTTTAAATCATCATTCTTTTCTAGGAATGAATTTGTGCTGCCAGTTTAGGTTATCCTTGCAACTAACAAAATTCCAACAAATCCACAACAAAGGGTACTTGTGAATCTCAATGGACATCATTAATACTGCAGTATCTAGGTCAAATACCAAATCCTTTGGCCAAGTGATTCTTGCACTGAAACTACCCTATGCTTCAGATCAGGACCTAGCTTAGAGGAGTTTGTTTTCTGATTGTGCGTGGATTCAGAAAGTCTGTGGCCAATGTCTTGGACACAACTGTATACTCTTAAACCCTCCCCAAAACTTCTGTTGAGTTCAGTGGGAGCCTTGCAGGCAACAAGGAGTGCAAGCTTCAGCACTTGGGTGAAAAGACTAAATTGTGCTGCTCCACTAAAAAACATCTTGGCTCAGACCGGCAGATGGCATGAAATGGTACAACTCCATTGATTTCAGTAGTATTATACCGTGGGGGGGGG